TGCTTGAAGCTGGTCTCTGAAGCAAAAGTATTTTTTCAATTACATATACTCATATATAGTGGAGTTCCTCCTTGATTTGAGCATTGATGCAAATGTTGGTGGAGAGCTTAAAATATTTTTGTGTGGATGGTGCATAAAACATAATTTTAAGTTTTCTTACTGCAACATGTAATGCCCTGTCCAGGAGTTTGGTCGCTCCATCAGGAATGCTGGAAGAGGTCTCAGCTTGTTGGGATTTTATAACCCTGAATCTGTCCTGGAAAAGGGGGTGCCTTTATCCTCTTTTCCTCAAAGGAACTAAGTGCAGTACTTTCTCTTCTAATAAAACACCGTTATTGCTTTGGTTTTGCCCTCTTCTAAACCAGCATAATGGTGAGAGCTTTCAGTAAATTGAACTGTTTGTTCAAATCCCTCCTCAGACTGAATGAGCTCGAGGCCATATCTAGCCATTATCAGTGGGAACACAAAACCTTCAGTAAAATGTATATTATGCCCTGGGTATATGAACTATAGTACCCATGTCTCCTAAGTAAAAACTTTATTCTGCAAGATCAAAGCACAAAGAAAGCAATTAATTAACCCAACTCAAGCCAACCTAACCCAACCAAACGCACACAAACACAACGGATTTTACAACTATTTCTGCAAACTGGTGAATATTAGGAGAAGCTATTTTTGACTGCACTTCCTGTAGCTATGTTTTTCTCTATGACCTAAAAGGTTGTCCAAAATGTTGGGCCAAGACGAGTACAGATTTTTCAAAGTGTTTCTGGATGGACAGTTGAAGCAAACACTTCTCGCACAGCTTTCTGCAGGCGTGCCTCAGCCACGAGCCAGTGCAAACTCCCGCAGGGGTGGGAGGTTGGTTAGTTCAAACTCCACGGCTCATCGGGTTCCTGGCTCCTCTGCCAATTAGCGCTGGCAGTTATCTGTGGCAGCAGACACCCTGGCAATTGTTTGTTCCAGTCTGTATGTCATTCTAACCATTCAGGGATCTTCACAATAAAACCCTGTTGCTAAAAAATACAGATCCCAGCGAACAACAAAATAAAATTAAAAAAAAACAAACCAGAGGGTGACTGCAAGAGGAATGTGTTGTGCTGAAGAGAGTTCTGGGGGAAAAGCTGGGAGCAGGCTGAGCTTTGGGGTCAACCAAGAGGTTCTCAAGTAGAAAGGTCATTATTAACAGCAGGGATAGGACTCAGGGTAAGGATACAGAAAACCCAGAAGGCAAGGAAGAAATTGGGTGGGTGGAAGGGAAAAAAGAGTCTTTTTTCTGGCGCTGTATGACGTAAAAAACCAGGTCCAGGAGGGATCTGCTGGACTGCTGTGCCCAGTCCCCTGCTATTACCAAGTCGCTTATGAATTTTTTTTTTTTTTGGATGGCTTTTGATTACATCTCTTTACTTTGGTGATTTCAATTTCCTGCCTAAATTTATTCATGACTAGTGTCCTCTTACATCAGTATGGCCTTTAGACAAACAGCTCTGTTCCCTCATTAATGTTTGCTCCAGCTGATAACACCGAGTTTCAAAGTGAAAAAAAAAAAAAAGAAATCCCAAGTCCTTTATTCCCCTCACTTATCATCCCAGTGGGGAAATCTCACAGTTGCAGACAGCTAGCTTGGGATATAGATGAAAAATAAGACAATGATGTCTACACATGGATTTCCTGCCTAAACTCCTGCACAGATCTGGTTGCTGCAATCGGTGGAGCCCAGCGAGCCATCCAAATGCAGGTGCCTTCTTCCAAGCGAGGTGAACAGACTGCAGAGAGTGTATTCATTAGAGCTCAGCTGACTGTGGTTGCACTTTAAAACATAGCTCATGTATAGGAACTTACCCTGTAGATACCTAAGGTTAGTTATACGAATCTGGATCTGACTCCCAGCCCCACTGAAAGGGAAGGTCTTATTGAATCCCTAAACACAAGACTGCAAGTCTTCATTGACCAGAATATCCAAGAAATTAGCATGGGACTGGGAGATGGACACAGGATGGACAGGAGCCCCAAAATCTTGTAAAGTCCCAGTTATGGGTTTGACCTCAGGAGGGACTATAAACCTTTGATCCTGCTAATTTTTTTAATGTCTTTTCCATACAAATTAAGCTGCAGCAATCATGCTTTTGTTTCTTTCAAATGAGAAAAAAATTGAAATCTTCCCAAAGTGCTGTCTCACGTGCATTTGCAAGGTGATTTTTTTGGAGCATTGTTCAAGAGAATAAGTATTGTTTCCACAGAATAAGGTGGAAACTTCAACGTGCGCGGCTACTTACTGAGCTCGCGAAGCAGTGTTCGGATTCTCCGCTTTCAAATAGGATGACATCTTTTATGAAGACCGCGATGGCTCTCATTATGAAGGACATGAAGAGGTGCATATGAATATAATTTCGAGTACAGTGTAGTTTTCTGTTGGGAAGAGATGAAGCATTTCTGAATAGGAAGGCTTCTCCAAAGCATTATTTATCTATTTATGTTTCTTCTGCCAAGATATAGACTTAGAATTAAATATTAGAAACCCTCAGACAGACTATGTTCTGATGTGAATCATCACAAATCCACTTAAGCCTTTTGAAATCCACAAAACATGTGGCAATCCATACATCTGCAGCAGTACTGCTGCTTTCCCAATTCTCAGAAAAAAAAAAAAAAGGTCAAAATACAAAATGACAGAAAACAGGTCCATCACTCTGCTCTCCGCTGGAAAATAAATATTTTTGACTGAGCAAACTGCACCCACGATAAAGGTCTGTTTGCTGCAGAATGTTTGCACTGCAATAACTTTTCCCAAAGTGAAACGTTTCTTCAGGAAGAGAAATAAATTCTTAGCAGCTGCTGCCAAAATTAAAACGTATGAACTAAATTTCCACTTAAAAATGACTAGTTATTAATGGTATTCAGAACCAGGGTTTTCCTGTCCCTTGCCCACTAATATTTTGAAGGTGAATTTTGATCAAGCAGGTCTTTTTTTTTTCCAAGTGAGACTTTAGCTAAAGTGAAAAGCCGAATACTCTGGAAAGGGGCACTTTGCACAGTCATCAGAACCACACCAGACCTCACTCAGCAGCATGATCCAATTACCCCCTCCTAATGAGTCACTGTGCATTGGCAAGTTTCTGCTCCTAACCTCTGACAAAGACGGCACAATAATGCGACCAAGCTGAGTCCTCTGTACTTGCAGGTGAAGGCAAGTCAAATTACGCTGTTTCCCACAAACGAAGAGCGTGAACTCTGACAGCTTCACCAGCTCGGCTGGCACCGTGTACCTTGCTGAGATGAGATAATTTCCCTCTCTTTCCTTGTAAGAAGAGTGGAGAGAGCGTCTGTGTTGAGAAGTGCAAAAATCTTGAAGGGTGAGGCCAGTCCTGGCATAAGTGTGAGAGTGACCCTGGAACATCTGCTGCCTCCTAGGGCTTTCTTTGGCAATGATGTCTAGAGCAGACTGCCATAAATTGGACAACCATCTAATGCATTTTAGGAAAGCCACTGGAGAGTGGCATGAGGAGATGGAATCAGATTTAGGAGGTTCTTCCATCTCGTGGAGGTCTGCTTTTTGCTGTTCTCCCTACACACAAACAAGATTATAACAGATTGCCTTGTCTGCAGACTTCTTCATTGGAGGCACTCAGATGCCTGAATGTATTATAAACCATAGAGACTGAGGGTTAATTCATTTGCTGCAATCTAGGCATCTAATGACATTTGACATGCTCTAGAGTACCTGCCCATCAATCCATAAGGGCCTGGGTTTCCCGAATGTTCTGCATCATATCTGCTAACCTTGTGTACATCTCAGAAGCTCCAACATGTCTGAAATAGCTCTGGGTGTCTATGTCAGCATCTCTGAAATAGACTTTGGGAGGTAGTTTTGGGGTGTGATTCACCTGTCCCATTTTGAATACCTCCTTCAGTGGAAATGCATCATGCTGTAGTATCTATATATTCCATAATGACTAGGTCTCTGTGGACTACAATAAGATTATGGGATAATGGGCCCTAATACAGAGGTCCATCATGCAACAATCAGCACTTACTGAGACAAATCCCACCTAAATAATTGGATCGGGGTTATAACTCTCACACAAAGGCCACAAATCACATACCAGAAAACAGTTGCACCAAAAGATGGAGGAACTTTCCTCCCCAGTCCAACTGAGACTTGACAGAAGTCTTTTGCATCCGTGTGTAACACTCATAGATTATAATTTAAACATCTCCTATGTCCTTTGAGTCATCCCCTTCCCAATGCCTTTTTTTGCTCATGGTCTTACCTGAAGAGACATAAAATGATCATAGCAGCCGTGAGAGCGATGAGCGATAAGGTATGTCCAATGGTGTAGCCAGTCTTGACCGTGCCGTAAAATGCCGTTTGCTGATGTGAAAGAAAGAAACAAAACAGGGCTTTCAAAGAGCTGCCAACATGCATTCCTAAATACACCATCATTGAGCTTTTACTGACTTTCTTGGTGAGACAAGGAAACCATCCTACTCCACAAATCTCCAACTCCTTCATGCTTTGAAATTACATCCCGTAGAGCACATGACTCAAATGCCACCAGTATGAATAAGAAGAACGTGTCTGGTTGCAGTAGAGCTTGGATCACTCCAAAAGCAGGTTATGGTTACTCAAGGGAAAAGTTCATGCAGGAAGGAGTCTGATTTGACACTTGCAGAGACAGCTACACGGATATAATCTTGTGGAACAAGAATGACTAATGCTCAGTTAAACAGCCCACTGACACACTGGCTCTGAGGTGGTGAGTGTGATGAGCTTCATCTTATCACAGAAGTTTAAGGACAGAACTGGTCTGGAAATTGGTTTGCTTTTGTGGAAGCTAGATCTTGTGTTTCAGCAAGCAAAAAATTAAACGTTCTCATTGAAATCACAGATATGTTAATTCAGCAATATATGTTAATTTGGAAATCAGTTCATGGCTTTTCTCTTTGGCAGAACACAGAGGGAACATCTGAGCATGGAGCACCACAGGACTTAAAGCCAAGAGGGAATCTTGGTCTAAATAAAACAAGGAAGTAAGGCAACAAAACCCCATCTCTCCTAAGGCTCCCCAGCAACACGCTAAATGAATATATTTTGATTTTCATCTTAAAAAAAGGACAAAATATCTGTTGGTATTTGGACATTTGTCTTATCAATGAAACACCCAAGTTTTTATGATAATCTAACTCACTTTGTGGAAAATCTTATTTTTTCCAGCCCTTGATTGACCCTCGTTTAACCTCCTTGCTACCATTTTCTATTAAAAAACTCCGAAAAACCAAAACCGCAGAGTAGTTTAGACAGAAAATCTAAATCCAACCTTGTTTGTGAAAACACTCTTTAATAACAGCAAGGGTTGACATTTTTATGTGCTATTTTCGTAGCCCTTGATAAGTACTAGGGACTTCAGAGAACCAGTGAGGCTGAGATGAGGAGTAATCCTCTAGCATTTGCACAAGGCAGCTCGGAGGGGTGTTAAGACAGAGCTTTCGGAGAGTGCAAAGGTTACACTGGTCGTACCTATATTGCTTCTTAGACGACAGATCTCAGAGATGGCTAAAAACACGGTGTCTTTATAGCCCCATTCAATGAGTCCACATCACTAAGGGCTTTGGGTCAGTAACTCTGGATACGTAACTCATAGCAAGGATTTCAGGCCAATGTATTTACCTGATCTCGCCCATATGATGCCAGGAGGCTGCTCTGGTGATGGAGTCACTCAGTATGGCATGGTCATACCGAAGCCTTGCTCATCTGCTCTGCTTAGAGGGACTTGCACCGCAGTAAGGAACAGCAGAGGTTCCACCTTTCTATCCCACTGTCTTGCAGATCCCAGCCAAAGCTAACTATAGTCTTGTTTGAGTTTGGGGTCAGGCCAAAGGCAGCTGAGACTTTTCTCATAAAAGCAGTCAAGTTCCTTTGTGTTGATTTCACCTTTTTTTCAATTATCAGGTTTTTTTTGGTTTTGTGGGGTTTTTGTTTGATTGTTTGTTTGTTGTGTTTTGTTTTTTTTTTTTTTTTTTTTAATAGTACCAGAGCAGAAGTGTTCCAGGAAAGACCCGACCAGCAGAAGGAGGGAACTTGTGGTAGGGGAGTGAGTTTGAGGAACAGGTTGTCCCACACTATATTTAGAAGAGTGGGGAAATGAGGGAAAGCAAATTAAGAGATATCATACAAGATTTCAGACGTGGGGTGGTGACTGGGAATTGTAAGCAAGGTATGGGCCTTTTGGTTCTTAGAGTTATTCACAGGAGCAAGTTATGCACAGAAGCAATTCCCTGCCCTAATATTTTACGATAACCAGTCCTTCTTGTATACAGAGAGATGGCTCTGCACGCAGTTTTAATGCAGCATGTGGGGTCATCACTGTTCTGGAAACAGCACAAAATGACTTCTCACTCTTCATTTTCACTTGCTAATGACAATCACTTCCTATTTTACAGATATCAAAGCAGAGAATTTGACTCAAGATCATAGACGGAATTGGAATTTCACACAGTGCTCGCCTTACTAAAATATTCTTATTAGAAAAAACAGAAGGATTTAGAGAAGTGAAGGACATGCATGCCAGGATGCCTGGTTTCTAGCTGTAGACCTAGACCAATGTACAGAATGAAATTAGGCAATTTCATCATTGTCTCCCTAACTTCTGTAAGCTTCTGTTTAATTTCACAGGAACATGATAAGAACAATTAGTTAAGGTAGATGCTAAACTGAGATTAACAGAGAATTAGCTTCCTTGGTTTCTGTTCAGTAACTTCTGCATTTGTCCCTTGGTAACTGAGATTAGAATGTGAAACATTTACATTTGTAGGAGAAAAAGAACAGAAATACTGATATCAAGTCTTTCAGTAGCCTTGCACCCAAACATGTTTGGGGTTCGTGTCACCTAGCCTAAAGTCATCTGGCCTCCCTCTAGAATATATGCAAAGAGGTCCCTTCGGACCAGATGGAGGCACAAAAGGGAGAAACTGTGCTTCACTTCTGGCAACAGGACAGCAAAACAACATTTTTTTTCCCCCATTTGCTAATACATGGTTTTAAAGGTCAGGTCGGAGAAGGAATCATTATCACCACAAAGATCATAAGTGCACTACTTGGGTTTCTACATCATTTGCTTCTTAGGGACTGTCAGAACTCACAACTAAAACCTTACACACAGCCCTTATTTATTTTTCATAATGTTCTTGTTATTTCTGACTTGAGATCAGTAGGCATTAAAAGTGCATGAAGTCTTTTAAGCATAGAAGGTTATCAGTCTGTTCTGGACCTCATGTCCCATATAGCCTGCTGTTCTCCTTTTTTTTCTGTTTCCTTTATTTCTTCCTCCCCAAGCTGACAGCCAATTCAACAACAACAAAAATCTATTCTTCTTCACAAGCTAGTACTGCTTGTTCACCCCCCTCAACCACCTTTCACACAAATTAGACTTAAACAGCACGACAAAACCGCGGAAATCAAGAGAAAATAATTAAGAAAGAATTAAAAGAACATAATACATGTTCTCTTGGTAACGCGGCACTCTGGCAACGCTACAATCCATTGAGTCGCCAAAGCATGTCCCAGGAATTCCCAAATCCCCTGTGCAGCTGGAACACAAACCAGAGCTCTGGATGGACGACCTTCCCGACGCAGACCCGTAACAATGGCTTTCGCAATGTGCTACTGGTGCCACACAGCTCGATCTGAGAAAGGGGACACTTGAGGACGTGAAGTGGTGGCTGATCTTGAAGGCAGACCAAGACTTTCTTCAGTAGAGCCCTAAAATTCTTGGTGCAACTTTCCCTTTGCTATTTTTTTGTATTTTTTTTCCCTCTTAAGGATGGCTCGGTGCTGTTCAGATTCTCCATTAACTCTTTGAGTGCCTTGGTAATGTGTTACCATACACAAAGACCTCTCACCATACATACTTGTTCATTAATGAGATTCCTATGTCCAACATTCACAAACACTGTCATACAGCAGGAAAAAAAAAAAAGCGTGGGCATAGGTTTAAAATAAACATATGGTTGCAGTGAAATATAATTCTTTTCTAGCATAAGCTTTTTTTCTTGACCATGGGACAGCTATAGATGACTAGTTTAGCTTAGATGTTGAACTTCTCGTTAGGTGAGATGAATCTCACCTCTAACAACTTTTGTTATACTTTTAGACTTTATCTTTCATGTCTCAGAATGCAGCAAACCAATAACAAACTTCTTCCCGTGTAGTGACCATACTCTATAAAGCTAATTATACCCAAGTCAGTAACTAGTGATTTACATACAGGCAGTATCCCAGAAATCTTGCAGATATCCCTACAAAATTTAGCAACATTGCAGGAAAATGTGTGTGTTCCCTACAGTTTTCTAGATCTTTAGCTGTCTGGGATCAGCAGAGCAGCAACAGTGGCAAGTGAGTTATGTCGTTTTATCCCCTTTGATGCTTATGTTGGCCTGGAAATACTGGAATCACCATTACCTATTTAAGGATAAACACAAATCTGGAAAGCTTGTTTCAAAGTTGAACATGGAAAATCAAGCACCTGAAGTTTTGCACGGGCATCACAGAGACACTGGTCTGATCTTCTCAGGTGCTGATTTCCTGCCACCCCCCTGGAAATGGAAGGGAGGATCAACTCTTTGACCAGACACTTGATCTCTGCTTCCAGGGATCCTGAATAGGTTCCTTCCTTCTTGAGGAATCAGACTGGGAATGGAAAAATTTGGGCATGGGAAGATTACGTGATTCTGATATCGATCCCTGGCAAATCTCGATATCTACATCCAGGTTTACGAACCTCTTCCCCTGGAGTGCTGTTGGAATCATATCCACAAGCTACGGCATACGGTGCCGGGTACACATCCGTCCAGCCCTGGCTTGTACAATTCCTGGTCACATTCCCTGGAAGAAAAGAGAAAAGAAATGATTTAAAAAGAAATGTTCAACTTGCTGTTAAACAAATGTCTGCCTTTTGCTGATTCAAATGTCAGGGCACATTTCTTGTAACAGTTAGAGTAAAATTCTCATACGTTTTCCCTGTTACAATGCGTTCATATTACACAAAATGCATAAATGGGAGGAATCCATTGGGTTATAAAGTTCAGACCTCAAAACCAAGTACATTTTAATATGGAGGTGCCCACAAAACATCTCTTCTAATGCTACCATAATGCCAGTTGGACAGACCTTCGGTTGTTGGCACTGCATCAATACTTTTTTGAGAGTGTTATTGTCATACTGCCTTTGTTCCTGGAAAATTTTTCATCTAAACAGAGCAAAGAAGCATTTACATCTTTCACTTAGCATGAAAGAAGCCAAGACAGGGATAAGTGATCATTTCACATTATACAGGCAGAGTAGGATATCTGGGAACTTAATGCAGTTGTCAAACCCAGACCTCGCCTAGGAGCAGAGCCCTGATCAAATGTGATTCCTGGGAAATTTACTGCACTCTTGTTTGAGAAACAAGCACTTCAAAATTTGGCTATGAGGGGAGAAAAACCAGATACCGCCAACCTGTATGACCTGTTTTAACATGTATACTCAAAGGCAGGAGGATTTCCTGGACTCTAAAGGAAGCTGAGTGCCCAGGGCCTCCAACAGGCTGAAAAGAGCCTTAATCAACATAAGGATGACTCTCTCCATCAGCCAAAACTGACAAAACTGTAAAGTTCACATGGTTCTTTGGCATTCTGCACTTCCTGGCCCGTGTGGGATTGGGAGGCGGCTGTCCAGTCTATACCAAGCAAAGCACCTCTCACTTCGTAAGGCATCTCTGCCTCCTGTCCCTGCTGGACCTCAAACCGACCTTTCTAGATGAAAGGCAATAACCTGTTTGGACAGCTCTGCTTTGGATGACTATTAGAACTCATCTGTTGTTCAAAGTTAGCCTGCGAAGCGCACATTGTCCTCAAAAAGATTTCAGTGGCAGCCTGAACCTGGTTTGTTCTTGGTAGGAGTTGACTGTGTTGACTCAACCTCTGAACGGAGGTAAGGGCATTATTTACTGTCAGGACCAACAATCTGACCAGGATAGACTTTACCCTAAGAGGTTTGTATTCTAAAAGGCCAAGATAGATGCTCGTTAGGCAAAAATAACAAAGAAGCAATACATCCAACAGCACATCATTGTGAATTTCCTCAGTACCCACTCTGACCACTGGTCCCTACCCTGTCCATCTCACACACATCACATCACCGTGACATTCCGTCAGTGTCATTTATCACACAAAACTCTCTACCGTCCCCACCTGGAAAGCTGGTACAATAAACCAGAATGAACGAACAATAAGCAAAATTTGCTTCTTAGATGAAGAATTAAATCAGTAAAACCCAAGAGCTTTGCAAATGTTCCCAGCAATGGGGTTCTTTGCACACAGGAATAACGAAACTTCTGCAAACAGGAGTACATCAATTATGCAGCTATGAGTCATGAAAATATTCAAGCAGCACCTCCAGGAATTTCTGAAAATTGAGTCATCTGAACATCATCCTAACCATAGACCTGCCCTGCACTGAAATCAGCAGCAGCTTATCCCCTGGCTTAATTCTCTTCTTGATTCCCTGTGACAGATTTTGACACTAATTTGCCCCTGTAATTTGTCTTTACAACAGATCTAAACTACTGAGGCATTTTTATTTTTTTTTTTTCACTTCAACAGCTGCTCCCAAAGTAGTCAACTTTAGCACAGTTTGGTGGGTTCCTGTTCCCCAGGCTTTTTCTGCATGGTCATTGTTTGCATTTCTCTCTACCAGGGTTCATATCAGGATCATAAGAGATCTTGTGCAAACAAATCAAGAACACGACTGCCCGGTACTTTTTTTTTTTCTTTAGGTGTTATGTAATTTCTGTTATTTCTTCTTCATTACAATGGATCCCATTCTCTGAACTTTTTTGCTTCCTATTTCCTTCTCAAGACTCCTCCCTTCTCTTTGGGGATGCCTTTAGCTATCACAGTGGTTTTGATTCTTTCCTTCTAATTCTCAGTGAAGTAAGGGGTGCTTGTTTCAGCTTAATTTCCTCATATTTCTCCTGTTTCTTCTTTTTTAAGTGCAATTCCTCACAATTGTTTGATTGTTTTGTAATTCTTCTCCTCACTGCTCTCAAGAGTGCCCTACTTGCAGCTTTTCAAAGAAGTCTTAATGCTTTAGAAACTAAGGTAGAGGGAAGCACAATGATACAGCATCACTGAGATTTAAAAAAAAAATTGTCCCTGATTTTAGGGAAACTCACTCCTCAGAGAAGTTTTTCTACCACCCTTTGCTGCTCATGTCACTTTTTGATGTGTAATTTCACACAAATGGTCAACAAACCTTTCTAATAAAGCTCCTGTCTGTACTCAATGCCTGGAAGGTGAAAAAAAGACCAGGTTAGAAGATATGGATTTTACCCCATCACAACTTTGTCTCAAGTGATGGATGATGTTGCCCCTCAGAGCAAACAACATTTCTAATTACTACTACTTACCAGGCTACTTTCCATATTGGAGACGAACATAATAGTACTTGGAAAAGTGCCTCATTAAGCGAAGTTCTTACTCTGAGGTTACCTAACGGACAGGCAGCAAACTTTAGTCTCAAGTATTAAACTGAGATTTTCACGTTACAGCGTTAAACCCCAGCTCTGTCCCAGACCTCCAGCGGGAGAGCACCCTGTTCTTGTGATCTCCCTGTGTCCCAGTTTTCTCACCAATAGTAGGGTTTTGGTAATGAAGTCTGATCTTCTGTCAATGGGAAGGGAAAATGTTCAAAGCACCAGAAGTTTTATATCCTGTTTTCCAGAATAGTTTCCAATTAACTTGTGTTTCTCACTACTTTCTATAACACAACTTCTCCCTAGAATGATGCACTCATTAAGTACATTGAAGCCGCAAAACCTAAGTGGAGGTATCAGAAAAGACAGAGCTTCCAGACTTGGAAATGGTGTCTCCAGCCTTTAAAGGTTCACAAGGTTTCCAAAAACTTCCCCATTTCCTATCAGACTGAAGCTAAATCTTTTCAAACTGTATTCCAGGGGGATTAACAAGAAATGAGACCAGGCATTTGTAACTCAGTAACATAGAATTAGCAGTGCACGGTGGAGGAGATTCCCAGTGAGAACTGGAAAGCATCCCACTGCCAGTAGGTTTGTGCTCCAGGCTCTTCTCTACATTGTGAAAGAAGGAGGTTCAACTGGTGTGAACAGAATGCCCTCGGCAGGGTGGTATGGGTTAAGAGTCAGGAAATAATCTGCCTTTTGTGGGGTTTCTATTTCATTTTGATCAGAAAATGTTACAACTGTCAAACCAGCGCATCTGCTCCTAAAAGCCACACCTGTTTTGATGAGATGAGGTTTTCCACTCAAAAAAAAAGGTTTCATTTGACAAAGCCACAACTAACTCTCATCTATGATAACAATAACCCCAAAGAACCTCATAACATGTCTTAGCAGAACTCAGCTTCCTGCTTTCACAGAATCACAGAGTGGTTGAGGTTGGAAGGGACCTCTGGAGGTTATCTGGTCCAAACCCATTGCTCAAGCAGGGTCCCCTAGAGCTGGTTGCTCAGGAGTATGTCCAGTTGGCTTTTGTATATCCTTGCAAACTTCCAAGGATGGAGACTCCACAACCTCTCTGGGTAACCTGCTCCTGTGCTTTGTCACCCTCACAGTAAAGAAGGATTTCTGTATGTTCCGATGGAGCCTCCTGTTTGGCCACAGTTAGAAAATACAAAGGCAACTAGAAAGTGCAAGAGGGTCTCATTACTTCAGAAATGCATTTGTGAATGGGAGCCTTGTATGTACCAGAGGTCCTCTTCTGGGTGCTCTCAGGAGCACAGAACAAAATCCCTGCCTCCCATTTCAGGGGTGCACAATCTCTGGAGAAGCACCAGGTCCCATGAGTACAGGATATTGTTTATGAGATGCTGCTACCGAAGCTGCAGTGATACACTGCTCTCCGGGTCATCCCTGGAGACCCTGCGGGTGTCAAAGAGGAGGTAAGGCAACAAGGCTAAACTGTTTTCATTGTAGTGTAAATTAAATGAAATCTCTGCACGCTCCCAAAGGCGTAAATCAGGCGTGTTGGAAACTACCATGGCTTGGCAGATGCACAATAATTGCCAAGATGCAATAACTCGACAGTGTATCTGAGTCCTGAGCAAAGCATCACAGGGAGACAATTAGAGGGATCTCAGCAGCCCAGCTCTTTTTCTGCTGTCTTGTCTCTTTGTAGATATCAGGACAAAGGAGTTGAAAGGTGAGGTTGTAAAGGGAACAAGGTGATGACCTTTTCATAAGGCTCCCTGCCAGGTAGGAGGGGATGGATGTACAAAGGGAGCAAAATAACAGTGCAGAAATGAAAAAGGAAATAAAGTTAGTTCTCTAGAACTGGCAAACACAATGTGCAGAAGTAATTCTTATACACGGTAAAGGAACTATAGCTACTGCCAGAGAACCAGAATGGGGAACTAACCAGTCAGCTTTTGGGGAGGCACTCTTTATCAGGGAGTGCAGTGATAGGACAAGGGGTAACGGGTATAAGCTGAAAGAGGGGAGATTTAGACTAGACATTAGGAAGAAATTTTTCACTGTGCGGGTGGTGAGGCAGTGGCCCAGGTTGCCCAGAGAAGCTGTGGATGCCCCATCCCTGGAGGGGTTCAAGGCCAGGCTGGATGAGGCTTTGGGCAACCTGGGCTAGTGGGAGGTGTCCCTGCCCATGGCAGGGGGGTGGAACTTGATGATCTTTAAGGTCCCTTCCAACCCAAACCATTCTATGATTCTATGCTGTGATGTCAAAGCCACTGCTTACAGAAGGAACTTACAAGTGTAAACATGAGGCTAGACCTTTATATCATTTATATCAGTGTTTACAACAGTCAATGCATAAAACACTACAGAAAGGCAAGGGGTGAAGCCCCTTAAA